GACTATTTTCAGTGGGGGGCCTGTAGCCCCTATCTTAATTCTGGTTGCCCCTGTCTGCCTGACATCATGTGTCCGGGTTTCTGCTGCCATGAAACCCGAACACAGCATTCAAAACCCGAACTGTCCAGGTGAATCCGGGACAGGTGGCAACCCTAAGCACGGCGGGCAACCGTCACAACAAAATCCATCTGCTAAGGGTCTGGGCCACCATTGGACAAGCCGATGGTCCACAACGGCCATCTACACGAGCCCGGGTAGAGGGAGATTGCAGTCAATGGACCTGGCGTACCCATGAAGCAGGACTATTACACCACAAAGACGACATTGTTGGGGTGGGGTTGGCAAGACACTTTTACCTATGAGTGGCACACACACACGGCACATTGCATATGATAACTTAATATAATGCCGGGCCACAGACCAACCAAGAAAGACATTGCCACAAAAATAGAAACACGAAAGTGCTCAGCGGAGGCCAGGCCGGTCTGAAGGTTGGCAATTAGTAGTATTGTTGAGGATCAGCATGCAAATATCCTAGTACAATTGTATGAACCACAGACTTGTAGGTTGTATTATCAGTTCCTTGACAGCCCACCATCCCACCCCCTCAGCTTTGCAGCGGCAGTCCCCCCCCTCGCCGGTCCATGCTGGGTCTGGCCAGAACACTGAACATTAACGAGTGCATTATTCATGCTGCCTTCCATGATACAATCCCAGACACACAGGAGCCAATTATTCTACATTGGCGTGTAGGTGGATGTCTGGCTGCTGCCAAAGCCGCCCGTCACACAGTGCCCCCTCAATAACAGCCCCTTCAATCTATCAGCTACACCAATCCGCTCTCAGCAGGCCTCCCGACCGCAAACCCTACCGATACAACCCCCCCATCCCAATCGCATGATCGACACACCGGCCGAATATCTCTACATCCTCGTCTACATAAAACACAGAGCCTTAAGGACCTATGGGACCAGCCTGCAGTAAGGCGACCAGGATCTCAGCGCTGCAAGACCTCAACACAACATGCAAATAATAAGGCAATGCATGGAGATGATACCCCCCAATAAACATTGATAGACAACAGCAAGCAACCAAGTATCTGCACACCATAGAGGGGGTTAAAGGATCACACCCGAGATGGTCAACTAGCCCATAAAAAATATATTTATATCAAGGAATGTATAATATTTGTACCATGTGATATACAGCATTTGTACCATGTGATATACAGCATTTGTACCATGTGATATACAGCATTTAGATCATGTGATATACAGCATTTAGATCATGTGATATACAGTATTTGGATCATGTGATATATAGTATTTGGATCATGTGATATATAGTATTTGTACCATGTGATATATAGTATTTGGATCATGTGATATACAGTATTGATATCACGTGAGATATATATACACTATATAAATAATCCCAAGCGGGATTTCCTGTTCCTGGGTTCCTCTCCCCCATTTTTGGTTACTACCAGTATTAGTGCAAAATGGTGTCACAGCCGTTTTCACTTCACAGAAGTCCCCTGTGTGTCCTGGATGGCACCCACCTTGTGCCTGCTATCTGAGCGCCCCAGTGCCGTACAGGCAGAAACACACAAAGAGCACTTGGTTAGGTGTAGTGTACCCCATTATTACTATGTACAAAGAGGCCCCCCATTATCAGAACTGTACCCAGTTATCATGACTATATACCTATGGAGCCCCATTATCCAGGCAGGAGGAAGGTATGGCAGTATTTAGGGGGCTCTCACATCAGACAGACACTCACTTTTCCTGGCGTACCCCAGATTGATAAATACAGCAGGTATAGTAGTTGAAGCCCACATTCCCTGTCAGGTACTCCCATCATTCAGCATCTCCTAGTAGTATGGCTTAAGGTGGTACTCCTAGCTTTGTCTGTGCACATGGTAACCTACTCACACCCAGGCAGTGGAGGCTGGTACATAAGAATTGTCAATGTACCTCATTAATGTGCTTACATGCAGGCATGGTTATAGAGAGTACCCCAGTAATAATAGGTACTTGAAAGTGGACATGTTAGATGATGCTGGTCCCCCAATATAGAAGTCAGACCTCGGCATGTCTAATGATGGTGGTAAAAGGTACTTAAACATGCTCAAAGCAGATGGAGGTGGTACACCACGGTTGTCAGTGTACCTCATCACTGTACATACCCCAGTACTGTCACATAGGTATATTAGAAAAGGGTAGTATCCCAGTACCCCTGCAGTGTCATTGGACTCCAGCAGTGTCAGTACTCACATGGGCCGGGTAGAAGGTAGTACTTTAGTATTGCGAATAAACCCTAGTAAACCCTAGTATTCTCATGGCGCAGTTACTCACACAAAGCAGCAGCAGTGTGTACCCCTGTACTGTCAGGTATTAAACACACAGGCATAGCAGATAATGGTACCCGAGTATAGTCCCGGTATCCCAGTATTGACAGGTACCTGCATATCAGTACAATAGATGATGATACCCCAGTACCAGTAGATATTCACCAATAGGTACAATAGATGGAGGATACCCCAGTGATTGCAGGTACTCACACATAGGTACCTTAGATGAGTATCGCAGCACAGTCAGGTGCTCACATGTAGAAACAGTAGGTAGTACCCCAGTACTGTCAGCAATTACATGCAGGCAACGTAGATGGTACTCCAGTATTGTCAGTGTAGCTCCGTACTATCCGAAAATACAGATACTCACATATGGGTATAGCGGGTGAAGGTGATACCTCTATATTGTCAGTGTACCCTACTTTTGTCTGGCACATGCATGCAGAGTGGATGGTACCCTAGTATAGTCAGCGTACCCAAGCATTGTTAGCACTTCTGCTTAGGCAGTTGAAGTTGGTATCCTACAATTTCCTGTGTGTTCCTGTATTGTTAGTGTATACAGGTACTCACATCTAGTCACAATATATGGTACCTTAGTATTATAAGTGCCCCAGCGTTGTCAGGTACTCACGCCTAGGCATTGTAGATGATGGTGGTACCCCAGTATTATTAATGTGTGCCGGTACTGCTACTGCCAACACAAACGTACAGTAAATGATGGTGATACCCCAGCATTATCAGTGTACCCCGGGTCATGTCTGTTGTCACACACAGACACTGTAGATGATGATGGTATCCCAGCATTAACAATGCACCTCAGCACTGTCACTACTGACACATATCAGATGAAAATACTCAAGTATTAACAGAGTACTCCAGCAGTACTGTAAGCGTAAACTGGTACTTGCAATCATGGCAAATTATGGTGGTGCTCCAGTATTATCAGGGTATCATAGTATTGTCGGGTATTTACACGTAACCACAGAAGAGAGCCCCCCAGTACTAGCAGGGTACCCCCTCACTGCAAGTAAAGACATTTACCCACACCTAGGCATGATAAATCATGGTGGTAGTACCCATGTAAAGTCAGTGTACCTCAGCAGTGTCAGGGTAGACAGAGACTCACACGTTGGCATAGTAGATAACGCTGGTGGTACCCCAATATTATCAGGGTATCCCAGGAGTATTGTCATGTACTCACACATGTTAGATGATGGTGGCACCCTGGCATTATCAGTGCAACGCAGTACTGCCAGGTATTCACACATTATCATGGCAGATGATATTGGTGCACCAGTATTGTTAGCATACCCCAGTACAATCAATACTCACACATAGGTACAGCTGATGATGACAGTGAAGCCTTAATACTATCAGTGTACCCCAGTACTGTCAGTAACCATACAATAGTACCGTAGATCATAAAAGTGGTACACCAGTAGTATTGTCAGGCACTCACATGTAGGTAAAGTAGTTTATGATATTCGTACTCCAGTATTTTAAGTGCACCCCATCAGTAGTGACGGGTACTCACATATAGGTACAGTAAATGATGTAGGTGACACCCCAGTACTATAAGTGCATCTCAGCAGTATTGTCAGGTACTCATAGGATATGTACAGTAAATTAAGATGAAGGTGGTACCCCCAATAATATGTATGTGCCACTGGTACTCACACTTAGTCATAGAAGATGAAGCTGTAGCCCAGTACTGTCATCTCCCACCAGTAGGTAGAGTAGATATTAATGGTGGTTACACATAGATATTGTAGATCAAGAAAGTAGCCCTGTAGTATGCATGTACCCCGGGTTCTTACAAAAAGGCATGGTAGATAACGGTGGTACCCCAGTACTATGAGTTTACCGCAGGTAGTTATGTAGTCATGGAAGATGAAGCTATGTCCCAGTAGTATGAGCGTACCCCAGTACTGTCATATCTTATACATAGGCATGGTAGATGAAAGTGGGACCCTAATAGAATGTGCACCACAGGAACTCACACATAGGTACAGTAGATGAAGATGGTACCCCAGTAGTATGAGTGTACCCCAGTACTGTCATTTCTCACACGTAGGCATAGTAGAAAGGTACCCCAGTACCATATCTATACCCCAGGAGCTCACATAAAGACATTATAGAAGAAGGTGGTGCTCCAGGTACCAACACATAGCATTATAGATGAAGGTGGTACCCCACTAATATGAGTGCACCCCAGGCACTCACATGTTGGCATGGTAGATGAAGATGGCAACCCATTAGTATGAGTATATCCCACGTACTCACACATAGGCATGGTAGATGAAGGTGGCACCCCAGTAGTATGACTGTACCGCAGGTACACAAACATGGCAGAGGAAGGTGGTACCCCAGTAGAATGAGTACCAGTTACTCACACATAGGCATGGTGAATGAAGGTGGTACCCCACATAGGTATGGTAGATAGTGGTACCCCAGTAGTATGAGTGTACTGTACCCCTGGTACTCACACATAGGCAGGGTAGATGAAGGTGGTACTCCAGGTACCCACACAGGCACGGTAGATGAAGGTGGTACCCTAGCACTTGTAGTCTATGCCAGGAACTTACACAAAGGCATTATAGATTAAGGTGGTTCCCCAGTATTAGGAGTGTACCCCAGTAGTACTCACACATAGGCATGGTAGATGAAGGTCCACCCTCGGGGTCTCTCCAGCACATTGTAGAGGAAATTCTGCAGCTTGCGGTAGAAGGCGTTCCGTTTGGGAGGTTTGCCGGTACCGGACACGGTGGATCGGGGCTTGCTGAGGATTCCGCTCCTCTTGCTGGTGTGGTCGGAGCCGTCAATGAGAAGAGCCCCGTCCCGGCTACATTCCGGGGCCCCCGGGTCCAGCCCCACGAAGCCCACCTTCTTCTCCCCGGGGGGGCCGGGGTAGACCCCCCCATTGCGGGATTTCTGCACCATCACCGGGGATCCGCCCTGAGGGGGGACAGGTCACACGATGAGGGGGCACCTGGGGGGCTCATGGCACTGGCGATAGGGGGGTGATCAATGCATCCGCTCAATGGACACTGGAGGGGGAGATCGCTGAATCTCTGCATTCCCTCTCTTGGCTCCGCCCACAGACACTCACCACGCCCACCGTCCCTTTAACTCTTCGCTGCTCCATGATTGGCCGGGCATACAATGTATTGACTCATCATCTGCTGTGTGATACATTGTATCTGTGTCAGGAGAACACAACTGGACACTCAGCTTACAATCCGATCGTTCGATCATCTGGTGACCTACCTTATCAATCAGATCAATTTATATCGATCAATCAGACCGGCCTTGTCAGTAAATAGAATGGATGCCATACACACAGCGATCATATATACCATCGTATTTGTCGACTCGAATAGAACCTATAATCGGATGATTGATTAACCACCAGCATGCAATGAAATTGTACGATGTGATTGGTCCATATCAATAAAATCGATAGGAACCAGGAATAAATTAAAGAATGGTTTAAGCCCCAACCAACGCGTTCCGATCTGATGTGACAATCGTTTAAATAAACAAAATCGCATGAACAGATCGTTCCAGATGCTGCACAAGTAACAATTAGACACGTACATTTCTACCATGCCCAAGTACTGGGGTACCACCTTCATCTACCATCCCTATGTGTGAGTACTTGGGGTACACTCATAGTACTGGGGTACCACCTTCATCTACCATACCTACATGTGAGTACCTGGGGTACACTCATATTACTGGGGTACCACCTTCATCTACCGTGCCAATGTGTGAGTACCTGGGGTACACTCATAGTACTGGGGTACTACCTTCATCTACCATACCTACATGTGAGTACCTGGGGTACACTCATATTACTGGGGTACCACCTTCATCTACCGTGCCAATGTGTGAGTACCTGGGGTACACTCATAGTACTGGGGTACCACCTTCATCTACCATGCCAATGTGTGAGTACCTGGGGTACACTCATAGTACTGGATGAGTGCCTATGTGTAAGTACCTGAGGTACACTCACAGTAATGGGGTAGCACCTTCATCTACCATGCCTATGCATGAGTACCCCGGGGTACACTCATAGTACTGGGGTACCACCTTCATCTACCATGCCTATGCGTGAGTACCCGGGGTACACTCATAGTACTGGGGTTCCACCTTCATCTACCATGCATATGTGTGAGTACCAGGGGTACACTCACAGTACTGGGGTAGCACTTTCATCTACCATGCCTATGTGTGAGTACCTGGCGTACATTTATAGTACTGGGGTACCACCTTTATCTACCATGTCTATGTGTGAGTACCTGGGGTACACTCATACTACTGGGGTACCACCTTCATCTACCAATTTCATTAAATGCAAACATGCAGATTCATCCGAATTTCTGAATTTGAACGAGTCCGAATGCGAACAAATCTGAATGTTCGGATCCATCTGAATTTTGTTCAAAATGGAACCAAATTGGACATGTGACTGTTCTCTGGCCAATCAGACAAGGTTTTTTTTGGCTCTTGGGGGTTGCAGTACAGGCATGGTCATGTGACTTCGTTCCCAAACTAAAATTCGGACGGATCCTAAATCCAAAAGAAATAACAATCTGGATAGATAGGAAACAAATGATTTGCGGGGTTACATGTGTAGGAACAATCATATCATTCATTTTACCAATTATAACCAGTATCGGCTTTAATCCAAATCAATAGATGTGATCGCATCGTCTGCTTCTGTAAAGCAGCGTTCAGTCAGATCGTTATGTGCATGGCTGTCATAAACGTGACAACGCGGGGCAGATCGATCAGAAAATCTATTGCCGATTGATCTCAAGCAATACATTGATCATTGGAGCCTGGTGGCAATCAATAAATTTTTTTAGATGACAGATCAATAACAAGACAAAGGGTGCAGGGGGCAATAGTTCAAGTCTCAGTCCCCGTACAGGAGCAGCCAATGAGTTCACGTGATGACACAGAGCTCGCCGGTGATTTGCCATCGTTCCCCCATTTTTGGCTTTGCATGTAGGTTGAGATTAGGGATCGGGGACACTTCACCGGAAGGTTCATCTTTTAGGGTAGAGGGTCGGATGTCACGTGTTAGGGGTTGGGTTTGGGGTTGTGGTCAGAGCAGACCTCCAGCTGACAATGAACAGGCCATTAAAAGATACAATACTACAAATCATCTTTCAGTCTAGAGCTCCACCCTGCAGTACCTGTGATCTGCCACTAGATGTCCTCAGTCTGTGTCCTGGCGCCGCCCCCTGCCCTGTCACTTTTCTCTCTCCTCCTATCACCATGCTTCTTATCATCACATGACCAGAATGGGTCCCTGTGCTGCTTCTTGGCTCTCACACTCCAGCCCTGCTGATACCAGGTCACATTCAGGTACTTGTATTGAAAAGCACATTTATGGATGTATTCATGATCACAGATCTGTGTCTTTTATCTTCTCTATAGACCGTGTTGGCTCTGCATACAAGGAGGATGATATGTGGCGGGCGGGCGGGCGCTGTCAGTGTAATAATGGAGTTTGCCGTTTGCAGCGCTCACACTGGCCGCTGTCCATTCAGCCCCGTCTCCATCTGGGCCCACTTCCATCTCCATCTGGGCCCAGCGCAAGCATTTCCCATAGGACCGGCTGCTGACTGTGCACTGACCGTCAGATCTGCCCCCTCCCTCCAGCAGTGACACGGGGGGTCATTATCGGGGTCACTGCAGGGGGCACAATTAGTCTGGTGTTGTCACCTGAACACTTAATGAGCATTTTCGCTGCCATTGAATTCGATAATGAGGCTTTTCCTCTGCGCTCTGACTGCAGGGAGCGATGGGCCCCAGAGAGCCATGGCCGCTAATAGGAGAGGGTTGTTAAAAGGAGATGTGCACCCTCGGCCCTCCAGCTGTTCTAAAACTACAAATCCCAACTACCAGGTGCATTGGGGGGCCGTCACATCATTATAGTCTATGATGGTGACAACACTGAACCATGCCTGTGTAATGGGCATTGAAATGGCCACTGCTAGTCTCCATCACAAGGGTGACAACGCAGGAGCACACCTGGGGGACATGGACAGAGAGTTGTCACCCTATAACAGGAAGTGCCTGATTGAGGATCTTCAGGGCAGGATCACCAGGGATTATTTGAATGAAAGCTGCTGATTTTAAAAACTGGCGAAGCTGCATATCAGAATGAACAGTGATGTTACATTACCATAGAAGGGCACTTTATAGATGTCTGTTAATGTTCTGTGATGGCTCTTTAATACCCTCATATGTAAACCACACATCTGGAGGCAGTTGATGAACTACAAGTCCCAGAATGCAGCGGACTTATTCCAATCAGCAGCCATAGACAAACCTGCAGCAGTGCCCCCGGTGGTCGGTCTGTGAAAGGGCGACGTAGCCAGAAATACTCTTCTTAGTCTGAACTACATTCATCCCCCGCTCACACCGCGCATTCACAGAGCACAAATGAGTGCACGGGGGCTAATAGAAGAAGACTGGAGCGAGCTGATTCCTTATGTATATGTATTACAAGGCTGTATTTAACTGCTAGCCCGGAGTTCATCCTTCAAGGGAAACTTAAGTCAATCTTATTTAGGTTATTTTATGTTCAATAAGTTTTTATTAGGGTATTTTCATTATTACAAAACGAATAGAAAGTATTCAAGAACAAAGAAAGTCCGGTTAGGACCAACAATATGAAATAAGAAGCAGGTAAAGACATATGTACTGTGCTGATAAAGCGTACCAAATTCCATCTCGGAGGGACCCGAGAGGCTCCATATTCAAAGCATCCGAGCTTTGCATGAGTCATTATCAGCGAGAGTCATGGGGAGGGCGTGTTTTGCTGAGACCACAGACACCAGGGCTGCCATTTCTGTATTTAGGTTATTTTAAATACATTGTTGCTTTATAGGCGTTTTTAGTGCATGACAAAGGATCCCCGAGCACTATGGGTTAGCTAAGAGGAAAATGCTTGCTTTGCAGCTCCCTGTTTCTGATTGAAACATCCATTTGATCAAGCTGATAAGGGAGGAGTCCCTGCTGTGATGACTCATTGACATCTGTATGCAGCCGGCTTCTCTGAAGCAGTGGGATGTGTGAACAGAACTCTAGATTTCCTTTACTTGCTGAAAAGAAGAACACAAAATACCGACATGTCCTATTTATGTGTTTAATAATGAAAGGTAAATGTTTTATAATCCTGATAAAGGAAGAACATTCCTCCCCCTATACCCCCCCCCCTTTATTCCTCCCCCTTTATTCACCCCCTTTTATTCATCCTTTTTTATTCACCCCCTTTATTCCTCCCCCTTTATTCACCCCCTTTTATTCATCCTTTTTAAGCCCTGGTCTATGCTATCACATGTATTTAATATTCTGCCTTGGATCATTCATTGCCCTGTTAGTATAATGTGTCACAACCAGCTGCACTGACCACCGCAGAGCCCGCACTGACCACTAGAGAGCCTACACTGACCACCATAGACCGTGGACTGACCAGAGAGCCACACTGACCATGAGAGGAGCCCGCACAGATACTAGTATTGGTGCATCCCTAAATGTTACCATTGGGGATCAGCACAACTTGGCAAATATTACCAAGGGGTCCCGGACCAGGAAAGGCAGAACCACTGTTCTAGATGAAGTTAACACAACAGTACGAATCACATGACGCTGCAGCTGCTGTCATCCAAAGCAAAGGGGTGGAGTCTCCTTTTAGGACAGCCCCCCCACCCACTGATACTCGCTTGCCTGTCGGAGTCCTGGGATATATCCGGTACTTCCGTGACCCGGGGGGAGCATGTGACCTTCTCCCTTTACTCCCAGGAGGATGCCTCGTTCTGGGGCAGGGAGTGGAGAGAAAGCATTTTCAATGGCAGCCTCTCACAATGTTGGGAGTTCCCTTTAAACGGCAGATGTTGCCTGCTGCATTCAGTGAAAAGGCATGCCAAAGCGATCAGTAGTCGCAGAGATACAGGAAGCTGAAGTTACAGGCAAATCCTTTACAAAGAGCGTCTTTCGTGGCGACATCAGCGACCGCGGATATGTAGTCTGAGGTCTATGGCCTCTGCGGCCCACGTC